ATTGATATATATATATATATATATATATCTGTGTGTGTGCACGCGCACGCGAGCTCTGGTTCATTGGTAGAGGCCTTGGCACAAGATTCTCGAGTCAGGGCTTCGAATCTTAGCCATTTCGGGAGGATTCGAATGGCACATGGACTAGACCGGGGGCCCTGCCCCTCGGTCAGTCCAACCTATAGGAGTTGATCGGCGGTCTCTGACCGGCGATCAATCTAAATATATGTGTGTGTGTGTGTGTGTGTGTGTGTGTGTGTGTGTGAAAGTTTCTAAGCTTTTTTTTTATCTTGATAACATTATTTTATAAGTAATGTATTAATGTTGTAGTTTTTGAGTTGATCTTTAGAAGATTATTACTACAATATATTGGCTAGAAACTAGCTTTAAAATTTATAGTTTTCTTATAGTGACAAGATATTATGCAAGATTTGTCCAAACATTTTCCTAGAAGGGGCATTATCCCTAAGGGTGCAACAAAGTGGCCCAACATGTTGACTCACAAAATCTAACTTCAAGTTGACATGATTAATTTTTTAATTTGGTTTGGGTCAAAAACACCAACACATATAATTGTTTGAGTCAAATTTAAGATGACTTACCAATTCAAAAATGACCAAAATTTAACCCATCAATTCAAAAGTGGGTCACTTGAACTTTACTCAAAATTGACTCCAATTCGATCCAAATAGTTATTATGCATACATTAAACAAACTATGTAGTTAAGTATGGGTATATCAGGTTGAAAGCAGGCTGAATTTGGGTTAGGCTTTCTGACCTATTTAATATTCAGGTCGGGTTTAGGTCAAGTAAATTTTGGTTACACTAATCGATGAACCCAATTTGACACCTCTATAATTATTCTATCTACTTTCTTTTTTTTTAACAAAAGATAAGCACCTACAATTTGAGAGATAGGCGATTTCTCCCAATTCCTTCAATTCGAGAGGTAGAAATTCTCTCCCAAAACTTAATCCTAGGATTCACAACTCAATCTCATGCATAAATCTAACCCTAGACATAGCAAACATACTTATACCCAAAAAATAATAATAATAAAAGACTAATTTGCCCTTAGGTAAGATGCACTTGTAACGATACTCCCCCCCACCCCCCCCCTCC